TCTCCTCAAACTGCAGTAATTGATTTTTTTTTTTTCTCTTTTTTAAAAAGGTGCAGCCGTAGCCCAGGTGGAATCCAGGTACCAGCCTGACACCAGCACTGGAAGAGGAAGGCGCTTGGAAACTTGCTCCAAATTGGAAACATGCAGGGAGCAACATTTCTTCTCCCCCAGCTGCCAGAGGAGGATGTTTTTCCAATCAGGACTTGGACTTTCGTTCGCCCCATCTCTGCCCCGCACAACCCCATCCCAAAAGCAGGGAAGGGAGAGGACTAATGAGCTGCTGATTGCCGGAGAGCAGATCGCAGAGGCTCCACTCCGTCTGCCCAGTGTTCAGACTACCTGTTCAGGACTACGAGATTGTACAGTAGTCTGCACATTGGTTAGGCTGTGCTGGGATACACCACACACTGCCAGTGCTGCACGGGGACGGCAACACCTGCACGGCAGAGGGACATGCTTGGAGAGGGTGGGCTCTGGGGATGGCTGCATGCAGAGGTCACTCATCTCTCAGCCTGGGAGGGTCTAACCCTTTGGAGCCATGCCTGACCATCACTTCTACCTGCCTGTTCACCAGCCTGCTCACAACCCTCCTATTTCTCCTCTGTCTCTCTCATTCCATTCTTATTTCTTTCAGTTTCATGTGCTTGTCCCAAGGTAGCTGTGTTCAGGATGGCTTGTGTTTCACATGCTAAGCTTTGCCATAAAATGCAGAAATAAACACACAGGCCTGTCAGAGTCACAACTGCGGTGTGCTTTGCTACCTCAGAAGGCAGGTTCAAGCACAGAAAGGTGACTGGAGAAAGGGGAGTTCATAGTGTAAAGAATATTGGTCATAATACAAAGAAAAACCTACAAGGGATTCAAAGTTGGAGGTTTGGATGCTCTGGATGTTGTGTTTGCTTGTTTGTCTGCCAGAGAAAGAAGAGAAAATGAGTGAAAGCATAAATGAGGACTGATAAAAGCTGAGTAAGATTATGAAAAAATATACATTTGTGAAAAAAGATAAGTGCATGAATGAAAAGGCTCCACAGAGAATGTAAAGAAAATGAACATTTTCCAGGGAGCATCTGAGAGCAGCACGAAAGCAGGAGAGGAACCACCTCAGAGCAGACCTGGTCTTATGCTCTTTAAAACAAGCTGGATGCAAAAACTCAACAGCAGCCAACTCATCACAGCAAGCCTCTCATGACTGGGGGCATTTGAGTAAAGATCTATCACCTGATCTGGGCCTCAAGGGCATGGATTGGAGAGTGGAAGGGGCCAGAGAAGAGGGAAGTGCATGTGTACAGTTGGGGGGACAATCTCCATTGATCCATGTGTTTATTTGAAACCAGAATTGGGTAAGAGACACTGACAGGTACAAAAATCACAGCTATTTAGTGCCTGGCAGTAAGGTCCCATCTTCCCCAGGACAGGAATAGGTTTCAAGCAAAAGAGAAGGCATGAAGACAAAGAAAGAGTTCAACAACTGATGCATCAGGAATAGATGAATATGCAGCACCTGCATGCACCTAAAGTACCTAAAACTCTGCATCCATCCCTCCTTGTACACACACAGGTCTCAAATGCAGTGACATTGCATGCAACCTGTGAATACCCCCAAGCCAATAAGGTCATTCTTCTAATGTAGCCACCCATTCACACAAGACCCAAATTTCTAGTACATGATTTACCTGAGTAAGGACAAAATGCTCCATCTCTATTGGACATTCACACAAATTCCCAAAAGAAGCAGCAGATATATCCATCCATCCAGCTCTGCAAACACTCCAGCACACAGTGGCACACAGGCACTCCAGAAGGAGCAATTACCCTGCAGAGCAGGGTGTGAGCTTTACTGGCAGGAACCACAAAGCACAGTGCTCATTCCATCCTGCCTACAAGGTCCCTGTCACCAGCAGCTCTCTCCAAGCTCACAGACCCTCTTTTCCAGCAGGCAGGAAAGCCCTGCAGAGTCATAGGCACTGTGCATTTCATAAGGGATCTAGGCAGGAGGAGTATTCAAATCAAATTCTTGTATCATGTCCGCTGTGCTGTTTGCTGAGCAGCCAGTGTGCTCTGGTGCTGCTGCTCCACTGGGATCCTATGGCCTCCCTGAGCAAGGAAACCTCACTCTGTAATTCCAGCAGCCAGAGCAGGCTCCTCCCCACCTCTCCTTCCCACTGCTGGCCTGCAGCATGATCCCACAGGGTTCAGGAGATGCAGGTACCTCAGGAGGGTCGCCAGGTCCTGGGAGGCCAAGCTTTCTGTGGGGCCACTCTCCATGGGGCCAGTGTTTGACTTATTGAAAGGAGACAGGAAGAAAAACAGAGAGCCCAGGAGCACACACACATGCTCCTGGCAGCAAGGCAGAGTGGGGAGCCAACTTTCCACCCCCGCTTGGCCCACTCTTTCCTTCCCCTCCCATTCCCCAGCACACTCCTTCAGGCCCCTCAAGAGCATCAACAGCCATACATCCCTGCTAACATGTAATGCTGGGCCCTTTAAAACATTTTAAGCTTCGGTTCCTTTCTTCAGAGGCAGAGAAAAAACAAGCGAGTGCTGCGGAAAGACTGGTATTTCACTAATGGGGTCCAGATGTCTTCATTCCGCAGACACTGGGTCCTGGCTCGTGAGACAGGGCAGGGAGAGGCAATGTCCCCAATCCTCCTGGCCCCAGAGGTGCTGGCCCAGCCTTCACCCTCACCCCACCACACACCACCTCACCCCGCTCCTTCCCCCATCAGCACCCACAGCTCTGCTACCAGCACTTCCATCCACAAAAGGCAGATTCAGCTTCCTCCTTGTTCCCTCTGGAAAGCAGCCAGAGCACAGGGGAACTAGGACAAGAGAGCCCACAAAACTGCAGGGTGGGGCAGTCACAGCCTCCCCCTTCCTTCCAGAGCTGAAGCAAAGAAAGACCATGGTGTACAAGCTTTAAAAACACATGAGATTGTTTCAGGAGCTGAAGAGGACATGAGTTCTCCTGAACTGGTGAAGAACAAGAGCTCTGTAACAGACATGTAAAAATCCCCCGCCTGACAGGGGACCATGAACTGTGGAGCAGCTCTTGGGTGTTGAGTCAGCATCATGCAGGACTGAGGTTTGGGATGGGAATCCCCATGCTCAAGGCTCTCCCAGCTGCCCATCAAATGCACCAACTTTTAGCCTGATTCAATATTTGAGTCCAGGCAGACGTTGCTTCCTTTCTCCCTCACAACAGCCAGTGATAAAGGAGTTGAACTTGGGGAGGAAGCAAATAAAACACACACTTCCCTTTCCCCCCTGCTCCCACTCAGTTGAAAACAAAGGCTCCTTTCTCAGAGGCAGCTCAGACCTCATCGGTGCTGGTTCTCTGTGTTTAAGGGACAGGGGCTGGCAGGGAACTGTTTTCATTAGGCAGCTCTGCAGAAGGGAAATGGTGCAGACCTCCAGTTGCTATCAACCCCCAAAGCTGCCCTCCCTCAGGAGGGGAGGGAGGTCCAATCCCCATCCCAGGCAACTGGAATCTATCAACAGTTTATACATCCCCACTGCAGACCGCCCTCCCTCCCACTCCCTGGGGGAAGAACAGGGAATTCTGATCATCTCTGTAATACAGATGTAGCAGCTGGCTTTGATTAAACTACTTGATGTTTATAACCACTCGACCTGCATATGAAGCCCAGAGGAGAGGGAAACTTCCCCAAGCCACTCTGAACACAAAGAGCAGAGGTCTTACAGCAGAGACACACTGATTTTAGCAAAAGCCATTTCAATGCCTGGTTCTTTAATTAGGAAATTGCTGCCTGCTCATCCATAGCAGCACAGCAGTCATCTCCATATAGAAAGAAATATTTAGAGGCTGATTCATCACTGTATTTGTCATAATTTCTACCTGCTGAGAAGGAAACAGGCCCACTGATAGCAACTAGACAAGAATCCAGTCCTAGCTGCAGCTCCCAGACACAATAGTGAGTGCCTCAGAACACCTGAGGGACACAAACCACAATAAGAGGCAGAGAAGTTTCTTCATTTGCAATCAGAAACCCAAATCAACTCAGAGCTTACGATTAGATCATACCAGACATTTTTCATCTCCCAGCACATTGAGGGGACTAAACCTTTCAATCACATTCTTACCAGAACCATGCAGCTATTCTTTCTATTTTCAAAGTAATCAAAAGGGACAATTAACTATCTTTGTCTTGCATAGGAAGCAAGATGCTGTTGACAGTGATTTCAGCTGGAATGATTCTGTCTGCTTATAACAATTCCCACTGAAGCAGAAACACATCACAGCATGTTGCCAGAATTCCTAATATTCAAGATTATCAAGCAACTCTACAGAGTAGGTCCATATTCCTATCAGTGATATTCCACACATCACCGTAGTTTTGATCAGCAGAACTCTGACCATTTACAACTCAAACAATTTAAAATATAACATATGAACTGCCATTTTCAACATACAATCAGTAAAAAGACATTCCTACTTTGCATGTTTAAGAGCTGGACTTGGGAGAGATTAACTAATTTACTCGAGGTCAGAAGGAGCCAGCACCTGAGCTAGAGCTTCAGGTCCACAGCTCCTGTTGCTTTACTCTGAGAGAACTTTTTTCTTATAATCAGGAGATGCATGAAATCATTGCCACGTGCCTTCAGAAAACTCGCTGCTGCCCCACAAATGCCTAAAAGTCCAAATCTTGGAACTAACCCATCACACCCTTGATGATCACAGCTGCCACAGCAAAACGAATAAAGGTCAAATTCATTCCAAATGCCTGTCAACTTCCCACTAAGCCAGAACTTCAAGAATAAATATTACTCCTTGTGCGTCAAACAAGCCACATTCACATCAATTCTGAAATACTCAGCAGTACTGAGGCCATGGGGAGCCTGGCCCAAGGACAGTTTCAGCTTGTCACAAGCTGCAGACAGCACTCAGAAGATACATCTGTAATACCCAGTGATCTGAAGTGCTTGTCTTCATCAGATGAGACTCCAGCCTGAGACTCCAGCAGCAGAGCTGAGCTACTCACCTCATCATCCTTGTACCAGGAGAGGTTCTCCGCTGTCAGGACAAACCAATACTCCTTGGAGCCTCCCTTCATGATGCCAATGTTGTTGATGGTGAGCCAGCCTTTCCGGATCACCTGAGGGGAAGGAAGCAGTGAGCATTAATAAGGACAATCATTCCTGGCCTTAGGTGACAGAGGAGGGATCCAAAGCCATCCCTACATGCAGAGCAGTATGGAAAGACAAGGAACACTGTGCTCCCTGCTGCTGCCAGAAGAACCCCCCCATTCAACTACCCAGTGGAGGTCCTTGCCCCAAAAGGGCCAGGAAAAGCACAAAAAGGGGGCAGGAAGGAACCTGGCAGTGTTGTGCATTATACCCTCTGCCAAGAGGAAAGAGATACAGAAAGAACTACATCAGGAGTGCCTCGGACACTGGCACAACCTACAAGCACCAAATCACAGCAAAACACCCAGAAAAGGCCACACCTAGAGAAAACCAGGACACCAGCACACCTTTCTGCAGGTGTGGAGCACTTCACTCAACTCAGGGTAGGAGGAACTAGTTCAGGACATGGCCAAGCACCCCAGAAAGAGCTGAGTTTAGTCAAAGAAGTCACTAAGTATAACAGAACAAAATGGTGCATCTGGAATTAGTACCCTGGACTTCAGCATACCCAGGTATTTGGGCAGTCATATTAATCTTGGGCAAGAGAAGTTCCTAGAAGTTTAATTTGTAAAGAAGCCAAGCTATTACTCTCTAGGGGACTCCTATTCACCAAGTGCTCGTTTAGAACCCCACACGTGCCATAATCAAACGCATGCATCAACTTAAAAGCATTAGCTTTTACTATTACTGCACTATTCACACCCTGAAACATCTGCATGCATTATTTGTACCATGTTGTGTGGATATGCTTGCTGAAAACTTCCTGGCATTGAAAAACCATGAGACTGCACTTTGTATTAGCTGGTTGCATTGTGTGAGCAACCCACCCAGTTGGCCTACCTGGTTACCTGCCCGGGAGGTACAGGATAATTTAATTGGCAATTTACTCTGTCAAGGCAAACGCAGGAGCCTCAGATGTTCAGCTCCTGCCTTCTAAGATCGAGCTAGTCCTACTCTCCGTGTGGACAGGAGGAGGCAGTAGAACAGAACTACACATCCTCGGATTGCTGCTTTTTATCTCCACCCACTCGAAAGATGTACCTGCAGTTCTGAATTCTTGCTCAACATACTACCTTTCCACCTTATTGCTGCTTCAGCTGTGTCTAATGCCAGCTGCCCTCCTCTCCCCATTCGGCAGCAGAGGGAATAATGTGTTTATGTCCTGGTTTTGCCTTCCCAGATGCAACATTAATGTTCGTTAGCACACCCTGCTGAGTGGCCTTCTACTCACCAGGATCTCATCCTGCAAAGGGGAACCATAGCAACAGCAGCAGAGCAGAGAGCAGGAGAGGAGCAAAGAGAGGAGAGATTATTACCAGGAAAGCTGGAGCAGGAGAAGAGAGGCTCAAAAATAAAATAAAATAAATTGGAGGCTGGTATCAAATCTTTTACCCCAGGTGTTAACACAAGCAATCCCCATCCCAAAATAAATCTGCTAACAGGAAAGCAAAAGCACTTTACAGGTAGATCTGGAGTCTGCCCTTTGCACTCTTCTACGCTCAGCTCTACTGTAAGGGACTGCAGAGGATGGGATTTCCTACAACTGCTCCAAAATGGCTGGCTGGCCAGCCCAACCTGCTGAGAACACCTGCCTGCCAACAATCTGAAACACACTGCAATGTCACGTCCAGGGAGAGGTGGCCAAACATTCTGTTATGAAAAGGATGGATGTCAGGAATTAATATCTTTTTAAAAGACTAAGCAAAAAGTATTTGCTTCCATTCTCTATTAAGCTGTTTGTAAGGCTTTGTTTCCAAGATCTTCTAGCCAATATAGCCTTGCCACATCCCCAGCAAATCTGGGACAAATTGCCATTACTCTCTTTTTGATTCTGTGTACACTCCTTACAGTTCCTGGAGGATTAAGGGAAGTGCTCTCCTCCACTGCTGTCTTCTCCCATGGGTGTGCTCTGATACATACCCACTGCAACTATGGCTATCATCACCCTCTATCTCCCTGTACAGAGATTTACAGATTTCCAGTGAAGTTTTTCAGAAAAAGTCCATGAAATCTCTTGAAATCTCTTTTCAGAAAGTAGATACCACTCATGGCAAAGACAACTAGAAAGGACAATTCTGTGACAGTTCAGACCTAGTGTTCTATACCTCTCACCTTGGCAGGAGAGCTGGCACAGATAGTGAAGTGGCTGAACAAACAGGAATTTAGAGAACATTAATGAATAGGGATTTCTACCAGAAAAGCAAAACCAGATCTTGATCACCAAGCTGCCATTTCCCTCCATTGCTGCCAGATGCTCAGTTCTTCCTGACTGCAGGTAGCCTAAACCACTATCCTCCAGTTATAAACAGTTTGAGGAGTTTAAAAAAAAAAGGCAACACAACACATCAACTTAGAGCAGTGCTGCATCCAGCCCAGCACTTGTCCACCTGGTAACTTCCAGGTAGCAAACATGTCCTCCTTGCAGCAGTGAAGGAGATGGAACTTGGCCTACCTGGTTACCAGCTGCCTTCTTCTTGCTCATCTGGCTGCTCCTCTGCTGAGCACTGAAAACAACAGCAGAGACATTCAAAACTTCTCAGGCTCTTCTTATTCACCTGAATCCTCCTCCCTTTGGATAGCTGCTACAGACATTTGGAGCCCCCCACCACTGGCTTCCAAGCCCTAATAACCCAATCTTGTGCCATCTGCTCTCTCAGCTTGGACTACTCATCTTCTCACTCCCACATGAACCTCATTTAGGTCACTAACCCTCCATAGCTGCTGGGTTTTTTTGTTGACACAAATCTAATACTAGAACACCCCCTTCCTGGCATCTCTATTCTTGCCCAGCCTTGCAATCCAGAGCCACTGAAAAAACAAGCAATACTGAGAACTGCACCATTCTTGGGACAATAGGATCTGCACCAGGGCCTCAGCACCCCAATCACTGGAGCAGCTATAGGACAGAGCCACAGGAAACACAAGTGGAAAAGAGAAGGCAATAGGAGGTGGGTGCTTACTTGGCAAAGCCAATGAAATCCTCGTGGTTTGTGTTCATGTAAGCCAGCTCAATGTCTATTAGGAGCATGACCTGCCAAAGAGAGGCACAGACAAGAGGTTAGTGACTGACACTGCTAACAGAGCCCTGGACATTGTTCATCACATCCCCTCTGCAACCAGACACCCCCTGGCTCAGGCCCAACTTAGATGTCCTCAAAAGGTGTCCCCCACCCAATTTCCCCCCTGACACACACTCCTGATCCCCACCTGATCCTTGGTCCTGCCTTCTCTCTCACGGATGTGGGTGGTGACAATCCTCTCCATCTCCTCACGCAGATGAGGGTACTGGCTGAGCTGCAGGAGAGAGGAAACACGTGCACATGGGAAAGGGAGGTAAAAAGGGGGCTGCAGCCCCCCACATGTACACATGCACACATACACCTTGCTACCAGATGTTTTCAAGGGAAGTTCTAGAAAGCTGGACTTGCAGACAGATTTTTCCAAGTTCCTGGAGGTCTGTTGCAGGCAAAGTTAATTTCTGCTTGCTCTGGGCTTTACAGAAAAGCACTTTTCAGTCTTGCAGCAACCTTTCTGTCTCACCAGAGACCTGCTCCAAACTCACCACATTCTTTCAGTCATAAGGCCCTTGGCAAACTCAGATGTAAGGGCACTACCTCTTGCTTGTTGGATTCTACCATGAAAATGAGTTAGTTTCTCTTAATGTTCAGCATCTCACTGTAGTAGGCTAAGCAGATGAATGGACTGTTCTTATAACCTGTTAAGTCCTCTAGGAAGTGAAGTGGATTTCAGCCCCTGTTTGCTGAGGGACTAAGTGAAAGCATCTCTCTCCAACATCTGCAAGCAGAGACACAGGGTCTGAGCAGCTCAACGGTTTGTGTCTCCAAGAAACACCCAGCTCTGGGCATCCAGCTGCTTCTACCTATTCTCCACTGAGCTGGGGCAGGATTACATAGCTGAGATATATGCTCACATTGCACCTACAGCACATTTTTTGCCACATTACTGAGGAGTGAATCCTTTCCTGCCCACACTGAGAAGCAGGAGGACTCTACTAGCTGTGATTCAAGGCATGATTATCTACAGAGATAATACCTGAGTTACACTGCTAGAGTCAGCACCTTTAAAGTCCTCTGGGTTTCACAAGCACCTGCCTTCTTGCCTAGAGTTATAAACCTCTAATGATTCCTACAGCAACAACTGCTGCATCTCATGTCAAGCCCAGCAAAGTCAAATAAAATTAAACCTCTGGATACAGAATCCAGCCCTTTTTTCTCTACTTTACCTATCCCCTGTGAAACTATTTTCCCTGTTTTTTTATTTCTTAACGTTACCTCTAATTTGACTATGATGTCAAACAGTATTTCATTTGTCCAAGACATGTACTGCATTTGTTTTGTTCCTCCAGTTTATGAAAGCTTCTTCTTAAACTGGTTTGCCTTTTTTTTTTTTTGTATACATAATTATAACATGCTACAAATAACAGTCTCAAAATGTGCAGCATCACTTCTGGAAGCCAGATCCCACACTAACCACCACCAATACTCCTAACATCTGCCAACAAATAGTTTCAAACCCTTTGAGCTCCCTTGCAGTCAAGCTAGTTGCAATAGCCTAGAACTAGAATTTGGATAGATTTGACACTATTTTTAAATCCGTGGTTTGTTTTTGAAGGCCACAGAAGCAGGAAAAAAGTGGAATTTGTGTTCCCCAGTACCACCTTGTCTTGAAAGCAAAAACTGGGTGTTCTCCATTATTTTTTGGTTCAGGCAGCTGGTTGCTTCAGAGACAGACAGGGAAAGCTTCCTGCTTCCTTTGGGGGGTTGGCAAAGGATAGATGGGCAAGTTATGTCAAACAGAAAAACAGGAAGTTGGAAAACCTTTAAGCAAGTCTCAGCTTCTTTGCTTCAAGTTTAAAAAAAAAAATCAACAAACAAACACAGTCAAACAAAAACCACATTAATCCTCCCCCCACCATCCCAGTCCCAACCAGTTCAAATGCACACAAAGTGCAAAACAAGTAATGGTTTGTTCAGAACCCAGCTCGTCCAGCAACATCCATGTACAAAAATTAATTGGCAGCATTGGTCCCCATGCATGAGCTTCTGACCCCAAGCATGCAAAGGAGCAGCAAGGGTGGGCAAAAAAAAAGGATATGCAAGCCACAGGATGTCACACCACCAAGGAACATGCAACAGGGTATAGAGGGGCAAGGAGTTATCACCAGCAGGACAAACAGCACCCAGAAATGCCATGACTCTGAAAGACAGGAGAGCAGGCGACCCTTCGAGGGGTAAAGTCTGTCAGCCTGGGATCGTGTCCCAGCTCAGTGGGGTTTCGATCCTGTTTTAGCATCATTTTCCTGTTTAATCAAAATACAAGCTTACAGCCCTCTTTGAAAACCAATTTGTCCCAATAGTCCTTAATTCCCCTCTTTGCAGATTCTACGAGTCCTTGCCAGCACACCAGGTATCAGCCTTCAGCTGAAGGGCTGCTGACTTGCAAGACTTTCCTGCACTTGTGAGACACTGCAGTGCAGTCTGGCACAGAAGGTTCCTGCTTTTGGAAAAACACTAGCTAGAATATTCTCTTCCTAAATGTAAGGGAACATGCTTATACCCAGCTTTCTGCTGCTTTTGGAGCTACTCTCCAATAGCAAGAAGCTCAGAATCAAGCCAGTCATAGGACAGCTGTTAATGGCTGTCTTCTTCAGCCCTCAGCTTTGTCTAATGGTCAAGATATAGTCAACTTTTCATACAGGAAAACTGTACTGTGAACACAGATGGGTTCATCACCTTCTGTGTTCTTTGATAGTCTCATAATATTCAATCTATACAGCTTTATCAACTGTACATACAATGATTTCTTCACCAACTGAGGTGAAATGAAATAATTGTGAGAGAACATAAACAATAACACACAACAGTTCAGGACAGCAACAAACCAAGGCTACAGGACTGTTAAGCTAATTCAAGTGGTGTTAGCCCAAGCAGCCTTCCTTTCCAGAAGTCTTGCAGGACTTCTGGTGAATTTAAAGGTTTTTGTCATCTTTGTAGATACAGCATCAGTCCACAACATGGCAGGCTGGGTATTACCTTACAATTAGCATCAGTCCTAAAGTAGCCTTTTCCAGATGCTTCCCCTAATAGCACATGCTCTTGTCCATGTCAAGCAGTTAGAGCTATAACATGCAAAATAAATATTGTAAATTAACTAATGTCCCTGTGCTGTTACTACCTTATGCCATCAGAACCCATCTCAGTCCAGCTGAAATCCTTAAGTGGCCTTTTCTTTCTTTCTACTCTTTCAGAGGGAGGTACAGGCAAGATTAACCTTCTCACTACATGCAGACATTTGACTTAAAACATTACTAAAGTCTTCCTTTTTTTCTTCCAGTATTATTGCTATGTGTTTTCATTCAGACAGTTATTTTACATCTAATATCTGCCTCTAACCATAGCCATTGGTCCCCTACAGTGTCACTATCACCTTCCTTACAGGATTACCCAGGTTGCATCACCTTGGAATATCCTCACAGGGTCACCCATCACATCATGGATTAAAAATCCACAGAGCAAGTGGGTATCCAGCCACTCTAATGACAAGGTCCAACAGAGAAACTAGAATTCAACACCCCTGGGGCTTTTACCATCAACCTTCTCTCTCCCCACCCAGAGCAGACATCACCAGCTGGATACAGAACACAGTGCAAGCAATCACACCCGTCAAAATAAAAATCCACATTAGAAACAGGCTGAGGAGGAGTTACTCTGCCTCACATCAAACCCCACAATATGGCAACAGCAAGACTCCTCAAAAAATAGACTGAGCAGAGCTTGGGGCATGTCAAAGATGAGTCTTTACAGAGGTGGAAATGAGCTCTGCATTTCTAAGTGAGCCAGACCTCATTAACTCATCTTTTGCCCTCACTCTGAACTCGCATCAGTCCTTATCTTCCCCTCCTTCCCAATTTAGTGCTCACCAAAATGCTGGTGAGTCTGGCTGCAACCCTGGAAGAAGGAAACTGTAATTTCCAAGTCCTAAAATAGCCCAGGGGACATTCCTTTCCAACTCAGTTTCCAGAACACACTCATGCTGTGCCACGTTTCTGGCCCCTTGCTGGTAAGTTTAACACCAATTGCCACATCTGCCTTTTTTTTAAAGGAGGCATGTGGTGCCCTCTCCTGGAGGGAACCAGCTCGGGAATCAAAGCCACTCCTGCCCCAGCCTCCAAGAAGCATTTGACACCTTCCCTGTCACTCTCCACCTGCTGCTGCCTTCAGGCTTCACCTCCTGTGGTTAGCAGCAAGCAAGGAAAAGCATCACACTACTTCCCCCTGAGCATAGTCCATGGAGTGAGAAATCAGCAGGAGAATGATGCAGAGGGTGTAATGCCTGGAAAAGCTTTTCTCAAAGTGTTTCTGGAATTCTGAATGTCTCTTGCAGAACATCTTGCACCTCGAATTTTTAATCAGCTGCTGTTTTGTAGATGCCACAGCTCAATATGCATTGCAAGCCACTCATGCTGTGGGGGTGGGAGGTCTTTTTCTGGCTTTTTATATTTTTATAGGGTACCTAGATTTAAGGGGGTCCCAGAAATAACAACTAAAGTTCCAAATGTGCAGGCAATAGCACAGCAATCCAGTCTTACAAAGGGTTTGATCCACACTGAGCCAGACACAGGAAAAGCTTATGCCAGAGTAACCCACTGGGTCCCAGCTCACTGCTCAGCTAAAGAGCCCATCAGTTTTCACCCACAACCCTTGGCCTGCCTTCAAACTGCTCCTGTACCTGCAGGTTGCTGCTCTCCTCTAGATGCTTTGTTATATCAATTTTCTCTCTCTAGATTTGCTGGAGTTCCTGGTGTGTGTGTGTATGTGGAGAAACAGCATGGAAGTGTGTGGGACGGGGATGGGCATTGACCTTTCTTCGATTTTTTGTTTCTTTACCTTTTCGCTACACTTTCTGATGGTGGATGTGAGCTCACTCACTACCATATCCACACACTTCAGACTTGGCTCCTTCAACTTCTGCACCTGCTTTTTCACTATGGCTTCAAAAGCGAGGTCAGGCGTGAAGAGACCCGTTCTGCATGGCAGGGGAAGGGTGGGAGGAAGCAACGAGGAAGAAGAAAGCAAAGCAGAGAAAGAGCAGGAAGGAGGAAGAAAGAAGGAAGGAAGAGGGAGAAGAGAGAAAACACAAGGCAAAATGAGAAGTGAGATTTTGGTTCATTCCATTAGCTTACTGAACCAGGTGAGCATTGCTATGGGGCCTGTGCACTGCCAAGTATCAGGAGAGTCTACAGGCAAATGGAAGTGTCAAAGGGGGAATGAGGTAGGAGCAGCTGGGCCAGTGAAATGGTGAGCTGTCAAGAGCAAGATGAATGAATGGAGCCCCCAGGGATCAAGTGATCACTTCCTGAAGGAAAGCTTCTTTAGATTTCAAGACAAAACTTTTTGCCAGTGAGCCACTGTCCCTTTTCCTAGAGGTTCAGCATTTCTCTTTATCTCATTTCCCTTTCCTTCCCACCATAGTTATCTCTCTTCCAAGTTTTCCTTATTCCAGCTGCAGGAAGCCTGAACAGGAGCCAGGCTAAGACCTCAGAGGTCTGTCACTTCCATCTTGTTTTGGCAGAACTGAACTGATGTCTCTCAGTTTCAGGGATTCAAGCAAACCACTCCATATACAGAAGATATTTCATCTCACCTGCCTTCCCTGCAACATCAGCTTCCTCAGTAAGAATAGATGTACCCAGTATTTAGAAAAACGCAAAAGTGCTACAGGGTATCTACAGTTATACAAAGCATCCATTATACCATTACATCCAGCATCAGACCCAACATAGGCCTGCTGTGATTTATAAGGAACTATTAATTTCCACTGATATTTTGTGGTCTGTGTTCTCAATGGCTCCACTCAGGAAGAACAGAAAGTTCACAGAAACTAAAGTTACTAAAATATAGCCAAGATCAATCCAATTCAAGACTACTGCACCCAAAAAAGTTTTTCAGCACTTTTAACACTTCAGAACTTCTACTGGATGCTCTTTGTTACACAGTCTGAGTTACTTGTCTTACCATGGGCCATTACTACTTTGCCAGTGTTTTCAGGGAATAACATCCCCTTGGCATGGGAAGGGGATATTGCTTTTCTAAAGCTGCAGTTTATAACCACACCTGGGGTGCCTGCAGCTACCAACAAATCCTAGGATGGCTATAAATAACCACCACTTCAAGTAAATCAGGTATTTACTCCTTCACCTCATCTTTCACATCTCTGCAGATAACACCTGCAAGTCCCCAAGCAACAGCAGTATTAAAATATTCTTCAACACTTATTAGGGGATGTACAACCACTCTGCCTTCTAAGCAGCAAAGAGTTGGAATACGTTACAGGATTTGGATTCACTCAAGGGTTTCTCGACAGGTGCCAACAATGCCCCTTTTGAGCAAAGCAAGAGCATTTCCAGAGGTCAGTTCACATCCTCTGATCCAGCAGAGGCTTCCTACTAATCCAGTTGCCTAGCTAAGCTCAAGTTATGCTGTTTCCTCCACCAGACTTCAGGGGAAGTCTGATTTTGAAAAAAAATTAGTTCCTTACAATACCTGAGTATCACCTGATTTACAGTATTTTGTTTCTTCATAAACAAAATTGTAACCATGGCTGCTAGAGCACACACAGAGCCAACTAAAACTGAAGTCAACCATGAACACCTTAGCAGTAGGATCCAAGCTGAAATGGAATCCTTTTTTCCTGAATCTGTGATATTTCCCCTCCATCCATGTGGTCTCTTCTCCTCCCGTATCTCCCACCCTGTTGTACCCACCACCTGATCACTTGAGGAACTGCTGCCTTCAGAACAGAGGGTTTCGTCTAAAATTATCAGTAAAAAAAAGGAATGAAAAAGAAAATGAAGTAAGATATAAGAAGAGAAAAGGATGCAATGAGAAAGAATCAATGGGCAGTTCTGAATAGCAACTGATGGATGGAGAATAAATCAAAAGAAGCTTCAGAGGGCATGAAAAAGAAGGGCCCTTCTGATCCAGTTAGCAGGTGACTCTGGATACTTGGCAGCCCGAGGGCCTGTGCTTACCTGTCGACAGGCTCTAATGGCAATTTTCTGGGTGCTTCCCACAGTCACACACCCCAAGAGAGGACAGCAGGACAGAAAAAGGAAGCTCCTCCAGCACTCTAGAAACCTGAGCAACCTCTCACTGCATCCTCTTTGCTCTCCCAGTTTGACCTGGGGGGCAAAGCATGTGTCTGCACACCTGAGCCCTTCTGCAGAGGCTCTTGGCCCTAAGGACCAGGCACTTGTGCAAGGAATGGCAAGTGTCACCACTTGGGCACCTGTCCCCACCCTTGCTGAGAGGGGGTCAGACTCTGTGGAAAGCTCCTGCAGTGCCCATTTACCTGCACCTGAAAAGCCAGTGGCGATTCCAGTCTCCAGTGCCCACCAAATCCTAACTGAGGTGCCTTTTCACCAGCACCCAGCCCTGCCTGAAGCAGCAAGTCATAGCTGAGAAGAATGGCACAAGTCATCTTATCTTGCTCTCTTTCAACCCCAACCTCAAAAACAAAAGCTGCCACATCCAAAGGGCAGAATCAAGGTTCCCACCCTTGACCCCAAAAAATACCAGTATAGATTCCAAGGGCAAAGCCTGATGTCCTCTCTCTTGAGAGAGAGCACAGATGGAGCCCAGAGGCTGATGAACATTTCTAACTAGCTTCTTCTCAGCCATGTGCTGCTATTCCAGATCAGGATATGGACCAAGCCAGCCAGAAGCCAAGCCAAACACCACAGGAACGTTTCCTTGAGATACAACCCACAACTTAAGTGCTGTAGCTCTAAATTTCAGCCCCATACATCCCCCAAGGGCAACTCTGGGATTAAACCACTCACTTCTACTAGAACAGAGGGCACAAAATTTAAATCCCAGTCTCTGGCTTGGAAAATAAACCCAGATAATAAATTTCAAGAAAAATGCAGCCATAGAGAAATACCCTTGGTTTTCAAAGGAACCAGGAGTCATGCTACAGACAAAGGGGTGGCAAGGACATCTCCAGAATGCCTCAGCTCTTAAAGATTCAGAGAGCAGGGCCATAGCACCCATTCCACAGTGCTTCCTTCCTGTTTGGCTTGTTGGCTGGATCGCTCCAGGCTGCCTCTGCTCAGGTCTAGTCATGCTGAGGAGGTGGTGAAAACACCAAGTGTGGCTGCAGGCAAGTCCCTGCCCAGGTCACGATGCTGCGCCGCAGCCAGCGAGCAGGTGGAAGGTGCCAACTCCATGCTGCCTCTGGTTACCTTCTTGGTGCACTGTCTAACAGTATTGATTAACTCCGAAATGACCATGTCCACGCATTTCAGGCAAGGTTCTTTAATCTTCTTCACCTGCTTTTTCACAATGGTCTCAAAGGCCATGTCAGGTGTGAAGAGACCGGTTCTAAACACCCAGGGTGGGGACAAGACAAAGCAGGAAGGGGAGAAGGGGCAAGGAGAATGTCACAGAGTTACACACACATCTTGGAGCAGCCACCACCATCACCAAAACCCGGGACATTTGGGCTGGGAAGTGTCACATCCCCTGGAAAAGCCCTGACTGAAGTTCATTAAAAATGAGGAATGCTTGGCACTTTCAAGGATGGAGGTGCTGAGGGCAAAATCAATCTTAGCTGGACAGTCATAGCCAGGTCACCATTTCACCTCAGCCGAAGGGTGGCAGGGGCTGACCCCTTCACAGTGTATTTGACCTCAGAGCTGTGCAGGAGATGAGACCTGCTCTGGAAGATTTTCTTAAAGGTTTGGACATTGACATCTGATACCCTTTATCAAGTTCAGCTGGTAGCTGACCAAGAGAAAGGAATGAAAATAAATCTAGGTTGGCGTTTGTTCACATCCCTGTGTGCAGAAGGGCTCCAACAGGCACCTTCCCAAGAGCAGCACAACTCAGGGTCTCAGGGCTGAATTTTCTGACAAATCACCTTCACACTGAAGGGAACACAGGCCTGTTTGCTAATTATGTGGGGCCGGTGGGACCCTGGTGATGAGCATGCCAGTGGTTCCCTCAAATCTCTAGGGGAGAAGGGGGTCTGTACCAACACTTGTTTTGACCAACTAACTGCTGGTTAGTGTGAAAATCAATGTTTTAGTTTTAAGTAAACGAAGGAGTAATATGAGGTTGCATCCCTCTTCCTACCCTTTCCTACATAAAGACCCAAGAAGGATGGAGAAGATGTCAAGACACCCAGGCTTTTACCTTTTAAGCTTCTGTGACTCCCACATAGGAAAAGAATGCAAACTCACTTGAATGATTGTCCCTATTCCCAGATTCAAGCCAGAGGTTATCCCTCCCTTTGGCTGACCTACCGTACCTCTGAAGTCTTCAGCTCCATTTGGAAGGTCTAGAAGTATTTACAAGGCTCTTCAGCCAGAGCTCTGCCCTAGTGTGTGATACGTGCCTGATACCGTGGATGTTCTTGATGGCGTAGCTGATCTCCCGCCGCAGCTCCTTCTCATCAAACTCCATCTGCAACAAGAGAACTCCATCAGAAACCTTCTGACACTGGTCTGCACAGCAGGACACAGCAGCAGACTTTGAAGAGAAGAGGTCCCATGCCAGCACTACCATGTGACACATGAGGTATTAGCTCGAGTGCTGGATACAGAGTCCAGCCACAAAACTGCTGTGGTCAAAGCAGCACACCCTGGACACACATGAACAGCTAAGGGCCTCCATTTACAGATGCCTCAGCTGCTCTTAAGGAGCTTTTTTGAGGTAAAGCACTAGGACTGAAGTGCTAGATGGCTTTCTAAAGAAAATTGGTTTGCCTTACAACATTTAGCATGAGATCTTGGCAGCTGCTTTTTCAGTGAACACCACAAATGTATAAAACATTTTGTGTGAATTGTAAATCTAACACAAGGAAGGCTATTTATTTCACTAGAAAGGCCTCATCTTATTCAAATGTGGGGAAAAAAAAGATATGGCTTTTAAGTTTGTTCCAACTGACAATATAAAAAGATTTTCAGTACCCCTCCTGATCAGGTTAGTGTAATTCACCATCCAAGAAAACAGTCTTTCAATAAGAATCCTCTTCCACTATTAAGAGGGGAGTATAGTTTCTACTCCGTTCCCACCTCTAGGCCATTGACAGGGGACAGACAGAAGTAATCCCAGGTACACCTACAATCCTTTTTCCTGCTTCTTAGGTATCTGAGTCCAACTTTAGATCTAGTCTAATGCTCAGGATCAAGAAGTATGAGTCTCAGCACCATTCCTTCTACATGAAATTCAGTCATAGTAGCTTTGACATATCTGTGAGGACATTGTCATTGATTTACCATGGGTTCTGTTAAAGTGATTTTTCACACTCAATTTAGCATCTTGGAATCAAGTCCAAAAAACATTGTCATTTAGCTCAGATGAAGTTAAGTTCTGTTACAAAAAGAGACACAGGAGGGAAAGTCAGCACTATGGGAAGGAGACAATAAAAGAGACAAACAAGGAGACAAACAAGCAAAAAAGGTGATAAAAGGGAAAAACATGAAAAAAAGTAGCTGAAGAGAAAGTCCACTGATGAGAGATAGCAAGAGGAATAGGAGACAGACAGAAGTAGTAATATACAACAGGAACAAAAAGTGCATCTCAGCAGCATGGGGAAGCAGTACCTTCACCAGCTCAAAGGGGAAACGCTCATGGAAGATGCGGTTGATCCGAGCTCCTCCTGACAGCTCATAGGTGTCAATTTGGTCTCCAGAGCCTTCAATGCGTTTCTCAAAGTCCACAGCAAACTGCTGGACCATCCTGAAAGAAAACCAAGAGCATGAAGTAAAATTCATTGCAGAGCAGGCCTTTCCAGGGAGGGACACTGAGGCCACTCACTGAAGCAGAGCTTTGGTCTTGCGAGCAGGGTCATCAGGGCGAAAGTTCTTGTACTCCTCCACCTCCTTCTCAATGGAGAGGAGCTGGCTCTGGAGCTTGTTCCGCAGCCCTGGCAGCGTGTCACGGATGTGGTTGGTCAGTTGCTGCACAAGAAGAAGATTTAAGATGACAATAAAGCTCTAGGTAGTTACTAGGAAGAGTTTGCTGCCTCCACACTACAGAAAAGATGAAGGTTCCTCTCTGTGTTCAATTCTTCTGTGTGGTCGTAACAAAATGTCTTTCTCAGGACAAATACCAGTTATGAGCTGAAAGTATTCCCCCTCCCCAGCTCCTGCCTATTGCCCCCTTCTACTCTTGACCTTCAGTTTACCTTCTAGCATGGTGCAAAACTCCCATCCACACAAACCAAAGTGACTCAAATCCAAGAATAAACTTCACATAAAATTATTAGTATTTGCTTTTTACACGAGGGGAAAGGCTACTCTGCCTTCAGATTAGCACACCATTGACACCCAATGTGGTGGTAAAGCCTTTTTTCAAACAATAAAGGGTGAAAAGGCAAGGTGGAAGGAGCCAAGACCATTCATGAGGCTCTAATAAGAGGGTTTCAAAGTGGGAAACTCCACTTTGAAGAGGACTATTTGAATAAGGAGAAATAGGAAACTCTTCACTTCAGAGAGTATTTCAAAGGAGCAGAGAAGGAAGATTGCTGCTGTATGAAAAACAGATAGCCTCAATAGATGGGAAATAACTATCAGTATCACATAAATAGTGTTAGGTACAGAGATCACTAGAATTTAGAAGGTATCTTTTAATGTAGCCAGCAAGATCTTGCATCTTGACAGCGTATTATACCACAAACCAACTACTGAAAGTGAAAGGATAAATCAATGCTCTGCCTTTGGTGTGCAAGCTGCATTATTGGCCTCAGTGTGTTTCACAGCCAGTGACACCATGGGCAGCAGTTCCTGACTGTGGACAGTACCTGGTTCAGAACTTTTTGCAGGAAGGGGGTTCCCATGCGATCAGCCATGTGTCTGTAGGCTGGGTGGGAGAGAAAAAATTTTCTCTCTGCAGCCAGAGCTGCCTGAATGTCCTTCTTGCCATCTATGTCCTTCTGACTTCTGTTGACCACACCAATGTAACCTGTGAGAGTGGGGTTAGAGATCAGATGGCAAATAAAACCCAGACTTGAGAAGGAAGTTACTCAGCCAGCAGCATTACAAAAGGGGGATTTTAGTGGTAACATATTATTAGGGGCAACTGAAAGAGTTTAAAATTAGCCTTTCCTTGTATGGCCCAGGCTCTGATATTTAGGTATGCAGGACAAAAATTAGTATGGAACAGAGAATTATCTTATTTGTTACTGTTCCCCTAACACAAAGCACACTCCAGTCTCATTTATTTCAGACTCCTTTTATGAGTCCTTAGCACAGGTACTTTTGCCATGGCCACAGCAAATACCACAGCCCAGACTTAATCTTTTTACTTAGGCAGGGAGGGGAGTGTTTTAAGCCATCTTTCACAGCTTGCCTTAAAAAAAGGAGGAAAGAGAAAGTAAAAATAAGAGCATAAGGCTGTGTTTCTGCTAGGACTACATATCAAGGTATAAATACCTAAAAAGTTCCTGTTAACAGTATGACTGAGCCCTGTTCACCAACTTTTCTCACTCCTAGGTTGGAACAGAGATGGTTTAACCACAAGTTGTAAGAGATGTTATAGGAAGGGGATGAGGCCAGGACACCTCACACAGGGAAAATAGAGGAAGGAGATCATGGACAAAGCATGAGCAAACATACCCCTACGGAGGGGAAGCAATTTGTTTTCTAATACATCTCGTGCATCAGTTCCTTCATCCATAAGATCCAGCTTGGTGATGACCCCAATGGTGCGCTGGCCTATGGAAAAAAACCACAAACACACTTGATCAGCAAATGACTCATGTACTATTTTGCTCTCTTCACAGAGCTTACAGATTGCCCAGCTTAGCTACCCAAGGGCTCTTAAAGTCACACATTACAGTTCCCATCATGTACAAGAGGCCACAAGAGCAAAACAGACAAAAATCAAGATCAGTTCTCAGCTGTATCCTGCTGAATGCACAAGCTATACTACAGAAGAAAAGGATTTTAGTGCATATTTTCCTAGCTCCTTCTAGGCCAAATGCAGATGATTAAAAGAAAAGAGATCCTTTAACTCTTCAGAAATGTGGCTTAGACAAATGAAGAAAAGGGGATTAATAAGATTTCTACTACAGCAACTGCTAACACTCATTAATACCTCTCAGAAGAATGTTTGTTGGTGAAGATACATCCCAAGACAACAGACACGAGCCACAGCTACTGGGCTAATCACAACAGAATGAAAATCAGGCCACTGTCTAGTAATGCCACGATAATTAGGAGACATTTACCTTGAGGATCCACCTCCTTTGCAATCTTCAGGGCATCAGAATTGGCCAGATCAGAGTTGGCTGGAGATACTGCCAAGATGAGGCAGTTCTCTTTCGTGACAAACTGCATGAGCATGTCTCGGATCTGGAACTCGATGTCAGGGGGCTGATCCCCTACAGGGACTTTTGTCATACCCGGCAGATCCACCAAAGTCAGGTTCAGGACTAGACACAGGACACAGGAGTTAGCACAAGAGATTGTTAAGGCAGGAATGTTCTGGTCTCTAAGTACCACCTGTAGCTAAAGTGACTCCAATAAGGGATAAGAGGTGCACACACAGTTTTCTATTTCCTTCTTCTTATGGGTCAGTAAGAACTAGTTGCAGGTTGTTTCTACTGTGATTGTCAATGATCTCATCACCCTTTCCTTTAAATCACTTGTTTTCACACCAATCAAGAAAACTGTGCCCTCAAAGTCCTTCCACATAATGCTACACTGAATGGGAAAGGATGACAGTATTTTGTTTTCAGTTCACAATGGAGTGCAGAGCCTTCTATAAGAGTTGGTCCCTCTGCATTAGGACTCACCATGGGGAGAGTAGACTCGGAGATTGATGGGCACAGGGGAAATCCCTTTGTTGGAGCCAGTAACACGATCTGTTTCAGCCTCAATCTCCAAACGGACCTCCTCAAAATCAGTGAATTTCTTTCCTTTGCAGTGCAGGAATTCGCCATATTCTATTTAAACAGAAACAGAGTCAGAAATAGTCAAAATCAGAGAATTGTGATGAAAGCAGCACATCCTGAAGCACAACACAACAAAACACAATCGAAGGGATGAAGTCTGCCAAGGGCCTTTCCCAACAGAGTTTGTAGGTTGGAACAGTAATTACTGCAGTCATGTTTATGTGGTCAACATCTGAGAAAATTCAACTGAGCCCAACATCTTCACCCTCTTAATTCACTAGATTTTCAGCAGGGTCTTCTGGCTTTTAGGTCTTACCCTCTCATGAGAGTCACAGCTGCAAAGGAAAATGATGATGTGTAGGCATTAGATGTTAAACAGGCAAAAAGGCTGCAGGTCATTCTTCCTTGGGAAAATCCTTATTTATTTTCTCCAATGATCAAATAAGACCTTCCTGGCTAAGACAGCAATCCAGCTGGACACACAGGGGAAGGGAGCTCACATACCTGTGCTGGCATTTACCAGCTGAAGGACCAGTGGGCGCCTGGTTACGATGCCAGATCCACGTGGCAGAAAGTCTCTGCAACGAAACAGGAAGTTTTGGATGAGTGAGTGATTGTTTCCTTCCCTTTTCACAGCTTTTCTGCTTCTATAAGTGTACATGGATTCTAAGGGGGAGTCCCAGCTACAAGCACAAAAATGTTTAAGGCATTAAACACAAAGCACCTCTCCTTGAGAAGGGCAAGAGCTTGTTCTGAGTAGTTTATACTCACAGCACAATCCCTCTAATCGTGTCTGTGACAGTACAGCTCCTTCAGCTGAAGTTCCAAGTTAACTAACAAGCCTATTTAATACAGCTGTCTGTTCTTTGGAAAAAAATAAACTTTCATCTTTCAGAAAGAAAAGAGAAGTTGATACAGAGCCAAAGAACTAGCATGCCTCCTTTTGGCAAAAACAATTACACAAATTCACTCACACCCTGCACTTGGGGCTTGAGAAGACACCACATTGTCCCAGTGTGCAAACACCACGTGATACAACTGAGAAAATAACCAGCAGCCAAAGGCTTGTCTCCACACAGGGTCTCTCCTGGCTATAACTACTCAAGATAGTATTGCCAAGGAAAAAGCTGCAGTTTCTTTCTGTATTTACAAGAATCCTGAATTTTTGTGTACTTCAAGTAATTTCAAGGGAAAGCAGCCTTACACTAACATTCTCCAAATGCTGACTTAGCAGCCAAAGCCCACCAGTTCTCCTTTTCTTTTCCTTTTTTTCCAATCCAAAGCTAGGCATGCTCACTGCATCTGCTGATGACCTTGCTAGTTTGTGGGCTGGTTTTCTACTACTTGGCTGTTCATGTGGCTCTTCAAGAGCCACTGAGCAGTTCTGAAAATATAATCAATTGCTTCCTCACCTACTGGGAGAAGCATCACTTCAAATTAGGTTTCCTACAGCATGAACATAACATTCTCTGTTAAAAGAAGCCCTGTCTACATTGGCAGGACTCCGGCAGAAAGCCTCCTTCCCTTTATAACTGTGGCAAGGAATAATTTTGCTGATTCAGGAGTAACTATTGGCTCTGCTGAATGAGAAATAGGGCTGTCCACTTTGAGGTATTCCTCTTACTCCTGCATAAACTTAAGACTGACAAAGTCCATGGGGATGAGAAGTGTGTTTCTCTTTCAACACACCAGACAAGGCCTTGAGCAGCTTTGTCTCAGCTCCTGGTTTGGCCAATCATTTCCTGTGTAACCCTATGCAAGTTATTCTGCTTCTCTGTATTTCCATTTTCTCAGCTATAAAAGTAATTCCCCATCTGTAGCAATGTCAGAATAACTTGGTAATATCAAAAACTGAAGACTAGGTTCAAGTGAAATGAGGGTAAGGAGGCACTGTATATCCTCTAACACCTCAAAAATATCACCTGTTAATTACTAAGTCAGGAGTAATGGAACTTCAGTTAAAATTAGACTGAAACTCATTCACATTATTTTAGATTTTCCAGAAATATAAAGAGTTAACTGGGGATTGCCTTTCTTTGATTTTTAAATAGTACAGCTCTAGTTTTTCCATTCCAATGGGATTAACCCTGGAATCTCTGAGACACTGCATCATTCTTACAGTTTTCTGCTGTCTCAGCTCCATTCCTAATGATGTCTGTGGCCAATATGTGGAAAAGTCCTATCCTTGTATCTGTTGTTAGCACAATAAATCCATCTGAGCTCTGCTGAATTATTTTGAACTCATACCTGAGAAAAAGGAACCCTAACACTACAGAGTCCCTTTGCAGCACACCAAGACAGTCCTCTAGCTATAGGCTTCCAAATTGCAGTATCAAATCTTGCTTTTACTGTAAAAGAACATGGCTGAGGGAGGAAAAAGATAGATGGAATAAGTCTTCAGAGACAAAATGTTATAAAGGCTTTGAGTGCTGAGAGAAGGCAGCCTGTAGCATGACAGCAGAGCCTCATTACATACATCACTATACATGACTGTGCCTGAATTATGTTACTCAGGCTGAGAGCACCAACACCCTGTTTTCCTCTTTCACTCATTATCTTCACAACTGGGAAGTCCTTTATCTGTTTCTTTATTTGTAACACACAGAAATGCACGACAACATTCGATTTCCTGCGCTTTACAGCAGGAATGCAACACTGTGCCACTCCTCCAGGCTAGGCTTAATCTACAAAATACACAAAATAGCAGCTGAAACAGAGCTGTATTCAGGGAATATAAATACTTAATTTGCTTGTAGCTTTCTTAGCTATTGACTCGAAATTCTGACTCAAGATATTGAGGTATCACTTCTAGCAATGCAATTCCAAGCATTTTATCAAGGTTGGAAGACTAGGCTCAGATAACTACATTTCCCAAAACATCACTTATTGCAAGATTTATTTCTATGTATTTCTCTGTGTAACCCTATGCAAGTTACACTCATTTTTTATTACCAACAGGCAGAGAGAGAATACTGAGGTAGGTAAATTCTTGTCTGACCAGAGATAGATCTCCTCTTCTAAACCAAGGCAACAAAAAGAACCAAGGATGCAAATCTCGACAGGTCTCAGGCTGAAAGAGTTCAGGAGGGGAAATGACCTGAAAAGGCATTTATTGTTGTATTTTGCATTGCTCAACTCTGAAGTGCTTCTACATGTTCTTGACTAGCTACCTCGGAGTAAGCACAATCACAGCATCCCTTGCAGTCTTATTACTATTTTCATATGCAGAACTGCATGAGAGTGCAAATTTGGGCTGAAAGCTGCATTTGTAATGCAGTAAAAAAAATTGAAGGGAAGGGAACCAATCTAGCAGTTACTGTAGAGCAACAAACAAAATCCAAACATCTTGAAAATACATTAAAGTAATTTTGATGTGGTACAACAATACATTTATAATCAGGGAACTGGGAATTGGGTTTTCCTGAATTGTTTTGTTGGTTTGTTTGTTTAAAGCTTTTAACTAAAGCCAGACACTATCTAGGAAAAGCCTTCATGCATTAGGTAACTTAGAATCCTACAGAACAGAAAGGTTATTACCAGCTATTAGTGACCAAAAAAAACACCTTTGCTCTATAAACAAGTTTCAGAATTCATTCAATGACTTACACATGAGAAAGGATTTGAAGTTAAATGTATCATCAAACAAGGACACTTTTCCCAAACTATTCATAAAACAAAGGAGATTGACAAACAACTGGTTGTATAAATCAACAAATATTGTATGGAAAGGGAAGCAAAGATGGATGCAATCAAAAAAAGTAGGACACATACCCATATAGAAAGCTTGGGATTATCTGAAGAGGCACACACTGAAACTTTCAGACATGTTTCTTGTGTTTATTTGCTGTTGCTACACTGAAGAAAATGTGACTGTCCATTAAAAGATATTTAGATGAGCTAATTTGTAGCAATAGGGGCACAATTTTGTCTACACACACACAGTTTGCTCAGACCAAAGAATACTTGTTTACTCCTTTGGTCAAACACTTGGATCTGTTGTTTTCCTGTTAAATGAGATACTGAGATCTCTGGAGGAGAAGCAAGTCTTTGAGCATCTCAGTGACTGTTAGGGGCATGCTGTGCCTGCTCCACCAGCTTTGCTGGAATAAATGCTCTTCAATCCTGATAAGTACAAGACAAGTGATTGCATGAGCCAGTCCGTCCCTTCATGCTTTGCCAGAAGTGTCAGCTCACTGCTTTAGGTTTGTGCTCTAATGCTTAGAGGTTCCTGTAACATTTACAGTGCTGTTTCATTCCAGCAATCTGGTGTTTGCAAATCTCTTTCTGACCCTGTAGCCATGATATCACAAGTGATAACCACAATTTCCTAACAGGGAAGAGCAAGAATAGCATCCCCACACATCAGCTCAGGCTGCAATTGCTTCTCCACAGATTCTCTTCCACTGCAAATATGAGCATAATTTATTCCCTCTTTCCACCAAATTCAAGTTTTGTACCTTCTCCATCTACTCGTAATCTGTATTTCTGAAAGGACTTTGAGTCAAAGCTTCTTCATGCATGATTATTGTCTTCACTGAAGTTGCAAGAGAACTCTTCAGCAGTCAAAACCAGAACAAAGCCCATGGTACCATCTCTTCTTCCACACGGAGCACAGGCTTTGCTTTCCCTGTCTCCAGAGAAACTGGAAGGCTCAGAAAGCTGTTTGTAGAGGGCTCTGAAATACAAATCTAGGCCTAGTCTAGACAGCATTGTTGCAGTCAATTGTTTCCTAGACCTTTGAGATTTTTGAATTAGAATGCACTAGAGAAAGTAAAGCCTCAATTGAAGAGCCAAAACAGCAGTTTATGAAGACATAAAAGTAGTTACAAAGAACAGAAGGGAACACCAGCATCTGATCATTTAATTTCAATTTGATTTCTTATTAAACATCTATAGAAAAACAGGGTATTAAGGGATGCGATTAATCCCCAGTTTGGATTATATTAGTTTCAGAAAATTAAAATTCACACAGCCTCCATAATTTCACACAGTTGTTTGTATTTTAATTTGAGTATTTGTAATTTCCTGTGTTCTGATGGTGCCTGGGGACAGCAATTCAATCAGAAATGCACTGCACAAAGCAGTATGCCAATATACCATGAGAAATACAGTTCTGTCCCTATGGAATTTACTGTCTGGTTACACAGTTCAGACCTGCTCCTGCTTAAGCTTCAAACCATTTTCATCTGTCAAGGCTTATAATTGATCATTCATCTTTCTCACACATCCAGATAATGAGTTCCTCCTTAGCTCATGATGGCACAGTGCTTTACAAGAATCCCAAGCCAATCCAGGAGTATTGGTACCTTTGACATATGATTCTTCTGATCACTTTGCCCATCAGCAACAGTCACATCTTCACACAAGCTGCATTCTGTGGACAGCTTATGCATTTCTCTGAACAGCACTTCATCTCACAGCACTTGTGTTTTCAAACATGCTCTTACTTCAGCACATCAAAATGAATCCTTTACACACAGGCTGACAACTATGGGGCACTTTAACCACACACTCAAAATATTTACTATTAATCATATCGACTCCTAAAACAAACACCTCAGAAACAGTAGGAGCTTTG